TAATTTTCCTATGATGAATTCGTTTTGTTTGTTGTTTAATTTTTTTTAAATAATTGTATAAAATATTATAAATCACAATAATTATTTACTTAAATATTCAAAAGATATAAAAATATGTAAAAGATCTGATTAACTCTTCAAATTTTATCGGTGACACATAAATTGGACAAATGAAATAATATATATTATTTGAAAATTACTTAGAAAGTACAATAATTTATAGTAATTAACAATAGAATATTTTAAAGACAAAAAAAATTGATTGAATCTCTAAATTTTATTAGTACCACATAAATTGAGAAAGAAGAAATAACCTTTATTATTTCAAAATTGTGTAAAAGATATTATAAATCATACAACAATAATTAGCAATTTAGAATGTTAAAAGACATAAAAAATTTAAACTATTTTAAATTAATATTAAAGTTTGATTAACTCTTTAATTTTGTCTTTGTCACATAAATTGAAATAAAAAATGATACATATTGGGCCGGTGCTAGCAAGGGCTCCGATGTCTAGTGTATATATATATATTACTTTACTTTATTTTATTACTCCTATATAGAAATGGGACTTGATGGGACGAACATGAATCTCGATGATCGCTACATTAAAGCTTATTCTCGCCGTTCAACTACTAGGAAAGAACTTGGGAAATTGAAAGAATCAATTGAAGGTATAGTTAATCTTGAAATATAAGCATATGGGGAACTGTTATATTCAGGTTTCCTGTCTAATGCAACTGTAGCAGCATAAATGCTGAATTTGCGTTGAGGTTGGAACCACAGAACCAGAGATCAAGAAGCAGTATGGAGAAGTTAAGGCTCTGTATGAGAAGGTGATCACTCTATTTAGTTTAGATGCAATCTCTTTTTTGTTTTCCTTAAAAAGAGTTTGCATTATAATAATCTGCAATGATTTCTTTCGCTCTCTGGCCACTGGCCATTCCTCTCGCTTTAGGATACCCACTAGAAATAGTCAATTCAACGTGGTTCTTATTTTGTTGCTTCGGTGAACATGACTCTTAAGAGAGAAAACATCAAAGGAGAATCATCACATGGAATAATAAAAAGAAGGAAAATACCATTGTTCATTATATGATTCTCATGATTTTGCCTTGGTGCTTCTTGAATTTCTTTCCTCCAAGAAAAGGAAAATTAATTGTTTGACATGCTGAAGTCTAACCTTTTCACTACAAATGATTGAGAGTATGTGGAAGAGATAATCCTGAACTTATCTACAAATGCTAGAGAATAACCAGCTTCGTGGTCCAGAAAACTTGCTTTAATTTGGATCCCATAAAGGTGAATTGTCGTGGAGGTTCTCCCTGCATGTTTTGTGCTCTCAATCTGTTGGGTATTTTGTTTCCTGTTCTTTTATGATATATCAGATTATTATTTTTTTGGTTAATTTATTATGGACTTCTCTCTTTTTCGATCCATATGCTCAAAGAAAGAAAGAAGTCACTACCATAGCTGCAATTTCAGTAAGATATGAATTGCCAAGCCAAGATACAATTTTAATAGCTCCATAGCCTAACTTAAATATTTTTCATCAGAGCCTCCATGTTGACAGGTGACGGTGGAGTTGGCAACTAAGAAGCAGCTGAAGACAGCAACAATGGCATACATATGAACATGCATATTTGATATTACTTTGGTCTCAATTTGACCTCCATTTACGTCTTACGATTTGAAGGTCCGACTAATTTCACAAGCATACCTTTCTCTGCGTTTTATGTATTGTCAGTGACCATCAACTTTTGGCCATCTATAGATAAAATATAAGTTACATAATTCTTATTAATTTAGCCCGATTAATTTGATTTTCTCACCAAAAAATTTATACATTCTTTCTTATTCTCTTTAACTGAAAAGTGTTGTTTCAGAGAGAAAATGACAGTCAGTAGTCTCAGCATCAAGAAACGTTTGGAGGAGATAAACCATTTTGGTCTGTCCAGATACAATTTTGGCACTCAAGTCAAGGTACATAACTACGTAATGACGTTATAGCTAATGTACAGACAATTTTAGAACAATTATTTTCTGAAAATAATTTGAGGATCTTTGAGTTTTTTGTTTTGACACAAAAATGAAATTGAAAAGGAAGGGATCATGGAATTACTTGATCTTATGAACAATTTGATGTTCATATCAGAACATCTTGAGTAAATGTTAGCAGTGCTCTTGTGGAAGTTCCACAACTTGCACTAGCTATACATCCAAGGTCGTCTGTGTGGTAGTACCTATCACGATATCTTAAGACCAAAAGTGGCTGAATTGAGAATCTCTGAGTATTTTTAATTGAATAATAACAATGTCGATGAAAGGTAATTTAAGTGCTTTACAACTTTGGTACATGTAACAAGTGAGATTTTGAGGTCAAATTCGTTTGAGTCACATGAAATTGGCTCAAAAGTTGCAAAATGATTGAAGAAGTATGTTTTGGTCTTATATTTATTTTCTTCGCATGAATTGGAGTAGGTAATAATTGCATCCTACATGTTCTATGATTGGATTTGGCCTCATGAATCAAACTTGAATAAGATGAGTTTGCAAAAACTCTGTCTTACAGGTTCAAGTCCTTTATGGATAATTTAGCGACTTATAATGCTCCATTTTGATAATTTTATCTATCATATCCTACAGATTCATGTAAAGATATTATGACCAAAGGATTGTTCGAGCATGTAAATCAATGAAACTCTAAATTCTTTTCTGATTAACTTATAGAATGAAAGGGGCATAACTTTATTAATGTATTTTGTACTTCTATCAAGTTAGTTCTACATTTTCTGGAGATTAGTTTTGTTTTATATAGTATGTAATATGTGGAATATGGATGAACAGTCCTTATATATGTTCTCTTTTAATTTTTAAACTTTCTAATGCGTTCAACCATTTTCTCAGGAGTTCAATCTACATTACTGCTATGCATAGAAGATAAGCGAGTCACCAAGCCTTGTACTTCGCCACAGATTGTTCCGTAAAATTTTGGTATGATTTTTATTTCATTAAATCCTTGAACTAATATATACTATTTGTAGTCTGAAGAGTTTTGAGTTCTTATGAATTTGACCCCTTTGAGATTGAAAAATGTGTTCCATACTTTGCAATTAGTACTTTGGATCCTTGCTTGCTTATTGATATTTATAGTGTAGAGTGAGGGAAGGTGACAGAAAAACATTCAAGTTATAGAGGCTGAACAACCAACAGGTTAAATCATGGGAAATGATTAATTACTTGATTTTGTACATCTTCATTCTGAAGACTTGTCATATTTCTACATAAACTAGCAATTCACTTGATTTGTATAAAAACTAGATATAGGACACCGTGCCAGCACGGGGCCCAATATATATATATTTTTTATTTTAATTTATGTTATATTATGAAATTTGAGAAGTTATTGAAAATTTCATATGATTTTAAAAATATTTTAAATTATTAGCTATTGTGATTTGTAGTACTTTTTTTTACATAATTTTGAAAATAATATTTATTACTTTGTTTGTTGTAATTTATGTGGCACACGCAGAATTTCAAATATTAACCATTTTTTATAATTACATTCTTTCGGTTGTGCATCTGTCTCTTTCAGGAATACATAACATATATGGGTTATGGAATGATGTCAGCTATATGAAGCTCTTAACCTGCAAATTCATTACTGAGAACTCAAATCTATCTAGAATTGCTTTAATAGCTTCCATAACTAAAAGGGATAAAAATGAATTGTTTGGTTGTTCTTAAGTGTGTAATGTGTACTGCTTTCTGTACACATGTAGCACGTATTTTATGTCAAAAAAAGAGAAGGAAATATCCCAATTCATATTGACTCTCACACCTTCCGCTTTACTCTTCCTCGCTCCATTGCAATTTCCATGGTAGTCATTAGCGTGTGAAATTCAGCTTCGTACTCCCTTTTAAGATATTTTTGCTTAATTAATTTAACAAAAAAATTTGCTCCCGTCAATACTCTTATGAAGCAAATACACTCTTCTTCAAGTGTCTAAGAAATTCTAATCATTTGATCAATTTCATTGTTCATCCTTCTTAAATTTTCTACTTCAAATTTCAAGCTTTGCAAGTACTAAAATGGGTGAACAGAACACACAAAAAAATGACTTAGGCTTTTGACATTTTATTAGGAGCAATGTCGATGACATTCATACAAATAGAGAATCTATGTTGATCCTTATTTCTGGTGCGTGTTTGTTCTATTCTGGTGTGTTGCCTTGGCCTATCTTATTGGCCATTAAACTTTTTGTTATCTCTTTCAAACTTCGTGATTTACATCACTGAAAGAGGAAGAAAGAGTGTTGCTTCAGGCTTCAAATGTCGTTTCTCCTTGCTGGTAAAGACGCTCTTTCAATAATGCGTCTGTCTGTTTTAATTTGTATATTGTAACACCTTCTTGGTGCTTTCGGTTATGAATATATATATTCTTTGAAATACTAAAATCTATTTCTGGCTAATGTAATGACTTTTTACAGATATCTGATGCCATCAACGTTTGGCATTTTAACTTAAGACTATCTGCAAGTTGTATCCCTAGATAACTTTTTGCATTCATGTATTTTCTGCTGCAAAATAGATTCTAGGGTTAAGGTAACTAATTTTCTAATGGGTTTTATATGTATCATTTACCTGGTATGGATCTGAAAAGGGGGTTTATGAGGATAGAGTGTACGCAGACCTTACCTCTACCTCGAGTAGGTAGGAGACACAAGCTGAGAAATGTTGTTTCCAACTACATGGTATGAAGCTACAAATAAAGAGTTAAGTTTTAAGCTTCTAATTATCTCTACATTTTTCTAAACATTCTAACTTATCTAATTTTTTTGCTTTTCTTATTTTATATTTTGTTGTTATATGTACTTATGACCCTTACATATGCCGTGTTTATTAAGGTATGTTTACTATGCTTCATTTAAATTAATATTTTACCTCTTTTGCCGTTCTCTTCTTTTGTTGCAGTGGTGTAAAGAATATAGTCAAGAGCGAAAGAATTTAATTACCTAAACTTGATTTTTGTGATTGTACTGTTGAAAATATATTTATATGTATAATAGTGGAGTTATTCATTTATTAATCTCTCAATATACATGCTCCAAATTTCTTGGATATGGAAGAAAAATGGCATTAGAATGTACGATTCTTTAGAATATGTATTCACAATAGTTCAATCCTTTGAGCTGCATGTTGAATTTTTAGTCCACTGTCTTGGTGGATCAATAGCTAATCCTTGGAATTCATCTGATCCATAAATTTGATTTGGGTAATAAGATTAGTTTCATAGGCCTTATAGTACAGCTTAAAATGCTTTTGCTACCAAACTTTGGATTGCTACCAAACTCTAGATTAGTTTCATAAGCCTTATAGAACACTTTGCATATAATATAAAGAAATAATTATTATATTATACAGTTTTGTACAATAAATTTTTTATTATAGTCAATTTCAAACAATCCGGGGTTTGAAAATACCTTTAAACTACACGTGACTTTATGATAATATAAAGTTGTATATATATCATTGGAGATGATATATGTCATCTCCAATGATATATATACAATACATATTAAATAGTTATACTTACTGATTGTCACCAATGGTAATTTCTCAACACCTATTATTACCGCGACCTGCAAATTTTAGAGGACCACAACGAAGAACGATTGTCAATATATACATAAGGAAATGTTATAAGTGTGTGTATTAGTAAACATGTATATTTCAGCATGGTAATAGCTAGTAGGAACAATATACCAATTTCAGTCGTAGAATCAACAGTCATATGAGCAATGCGGTCAAAGGTTGTGACATTCAGCTATAATTTATATTTGGATATACAAGTGGGCTATGTTTATTATATAATAAACATATATTTATATACTCTGTTTGATATCCGTATACTATATTGGAGATGTTCTACACTTTCATACTCCATTAGTACAAATGGAGTGCTATAATATTAAATAGCACTGGATACACTTGATATCCCTCTGTACTTAAATTATAAAATACATATACAATCCCTATTTATTTTTAATTATTTAACAGCCAATTGAATTGGGCCAGAAAGGGAAAATTTACATTGTACACTTTTAATTGTTTTTTGTACAATAATGGGATGCTGTGTTCGTCCCATCAAGTCCCATTTCTATATAGGAGTAATATGTGATATAATGATTTAGTTATTCAAGGCAATAGTCAATGGATTGAATTACCTGAATTTTGATAAATAAAAGAACCTCACTTTTGTTTCAATTAATACGTTGATGAACCTATTAAGTATAGATAATTAAAATAAGTATACATGAAACTCAAAACTCAAAAACTTTACCAACATATCAATGGTACAACATAATATAAAATGTAAGGTAATCTATTTTTTTAATTACCCAATTAAATTATATTGCTGATATGAAGATCCAGCTAGGGGTTGTCACAAACATACTAAGTGACTCCCTTCGTTTTATTTTACTGGTCATGCTTTATTTTGCACACCCTTTTTAAAAAAATATTAACTAGAGGTAATTTGAAGAAATCATTATTTACTGCTCCTCTCTATTTAATGCGTCTCTCTTTTGTATCATAAAATCTCTTCTTATTTATGACTAAGAGTAAAGATGGAAACAAAAAAAGTAATTATGTCTTAATTTTTTAAAATGACAAGTATTGTGAAATATTTATTTTTAGTAGGTTTATAGTTGAATATTCTTGAACTCGATTACTTCACCATGGAGAAAACATAAAATAAGTTTGCTTGCTATAATCACAATATTCAAGCTTAATTACATCCTTTTTACCTAAAACATTATGGTGAAACCTAGTCGATATTTGATAATTTGAACGCTGACATTTTGAATAAATATTACTACTAGTATCAAATATAATATGGAGAAATTTAAAGGGGTTTAGCAATTACCATTATATGTAGAGGCGGAGCTAGAAGGTAGATTAATATAGGGTCAAACTTATTTTATGAATATATAGGAGTAATAGTTATTTAAAAATTCTGTATCTGCTACTAATTATATGTTGATAGCACATAAACCCCTTCAGAAAATTTTCTAACCAAACACCCATCTATTATACCTAATCAAAACCAAATCAGCAAACTTTTTTTACTCAATAAAGTCTTAGAGAGTTTATCTAATTTAAGTTGTTTAATTGATTGGCTTTTAGATTCACTAGTTTTGAGAACGTGCGTTGCACGTTTGTCCTCTACTATTGTATAAGTATGTAACATTAATTAAGATAAAATATCATCTGATGATATGTGATATATCGAGGAACTCTTGCTCTAAATTTGAGAAGTGCATGTAAACATCACTAACAAACCTCTACTACTGTATAAGTATGTAACATTAATTAAGATAAAATATCATCTGATGATATGTGATATATCGAGGAACTCTTGCTCTAAATTTGAGAAGTGCATGTAAACATCACTAACAAACCTCTACTACTGTATAAGTATGTAACATTAATTAAGATAAAATATCATCTGATGATATGTGATATATCGAGGAACTCTTGCTCTAAATTTGAGAAGTGCATGTAAACATCACTAACAAACCTCTACTACTGTATAAGTATGTAACATTAATTAAGATAAAATATCATCTGATGATATGTGATATATCGAGGAACTCTTGCTCTAAATTTGACTATGATAAAAAAATGATTCTCGATAGGAAGATGGTAGCTAGGTATGATCTAAAACATGAAAAATTAAGCTCTAACAAAATAATGGGTAAAAAATTAAATGGAAGAAAGACAAATGTAACACTTTTCCGGATGATTAAATTACATAACATAATTAAGTGAAATGACAAAGAAAGGAAGAAGAGAGTTTCCATCTCATCACTTACCCAAAGTATGTAAATCAGTGAAAATGCTGCTTTGAATTCCTCCGACAATTGCCTAAAAACTAATTATTAAAAGAGAAGTTTCTCAAAACATGAAAATGTATTAGTTACTAACTATGCTTGCTAAAAGGCCAACTTTGTGAATAGATAGCTTTCAACCTCCATGAAGATTTTCAACATCCATTTTCATCATTGCAAGCTCCGTATGAAGTTTTAGAATTTGTATAGATTTCTCTCCTGAAAAAAAAAAATATAATGAGAGTAATCAGTGATCAACTAATGTATTTAGAGAGCAATAAAAAAATTGCTTAATAATCATAATTTTTTGCAAAAAATATGACCACCGGCACCTCTTTGCTACA